GCTGACGGACTATATGGAATCTGGGGGTTAGAGGAATTACTGAAGCCTTTCCACATCCAGACAGAATGACAGAAGTACAACTGGACTGAAGCTTTTTAAGGAGTTAAAATGGCCTAGTCAAAGTCTCAAGTAAATATCCCTGGCATTTGGTTAATTTTGGTCTTTCCAGACACTTTATCAGCCAATCAGGCTTGTGAAAAGACAAAAAAAAAAACTACATATATGTATATATAAAGAGAGACTGATAAATTGGGCGGCTGATATTTTTGGCTGATATTAGCATTTTTTCTTCTCTCAGTTTAAACCAATATTTGCCTGCATTTGCCAATTAATTAGCTCATTCAAGCAGCAGTGTGTTGAGATCCGCATGCATTGTTGCATACTCCATTGCTGATGTTTTCATTGATTTGTAAATAAATGTTTTCTTTTTTTTAATTAAGACTTGTGTAAAAAATGTTATTATTATCAAATAAACAGAGGAAGAAAAATCTAGATTGGCTTCAATAGCCCAAATCTGGAATCGGTTAGACTGATGTCCAAATAATCATAGCCTTAAAAATCCTCTATTTGTCGATCTCTATAAAGATATACATCAGATATACATTATATGCTTATTTATGTTATTCATTCAAATGAACAGACCATTTTATGCGTGTACCTGAGCTAGAACAGGAGCCTGGCATGGAGAGAGATTTCCGGTATTTAGCTGGAGACGCGTCCGAGGAGCTGGTCTTTTCTGTTATAAAAATAAGACATTAATGACTTCAGAAAAAAAAAGCCTTTGGTAAAAAGAAAAAAAAAAAAACTAGTAAACAAGGCCATCTTTTCTGACCTGCGTCAGCTTTCTCCGACCCCGTATCTTCGGAGTGGGACGGCTGTCTGCGGAAGCCTTTAAGCTGACTGTCGCCCAGAACGTTCGCCACGGAGACCAGAGATATGGCCTGACTTTCCTGTTACACAAATAAAAAAAAACATGTCTTCAAAAGTGTTTCTACTCACTTTCTGACATTTGTGCAGCCTCCATGAGAGGTAGTTTTCTTTAGTGAATCAGAGTACCGGGTTGAAAAGCTCAGTGGTGAGGCCAAGGTAGTTGTGTAAAGCAAGGAATGTCACTCTCTGCAGACGCACCATAATAATCTATAGAGGGGGAGGAATGGTGACAACATGCATTATGTTAATGTTGAACAGCATTAGTAGAGGAATTGGCTTTTGATTGGCTTAGATGTACCTGAATGACCCGGACCAAAGTCTCTGGATATTTTTCAAAGACGGCCTGGAAAGCCACTGCTGGAAGACGCAGGACGGTGGAAGGGACTGCAGCCCTTGCAGACACTGTTTTATAAGGAGCTGGGTAGCCCTGCAATTTACAGGATGCCTTGTTTTGAGAGGAAGGAAAATTAATGAAAGAGACAGAGGAGGAGGCAGTAGACGTACGGTGATAATGTCCAGGATACTGAGCAAGCTGTGCACGCTGTCTCCAGGTAGGACATCCTTCACCACTGCATCCGTACCATCCTACAGCGACAGAGAGCCAGCATGATTAAACTCCCACACATCAATGAGAAAAGGGTCGTGTGCAGACGTGCACACTGTGTGGTGATAGAACACCTGCCCTTTTCACACCCAACCAAAAAAGTGCCCTAATGATGGTTCCATTTTTTTTTTCTTTAGTGTCGCTTTAGTGTGTGGTCCATTTCTGGATTTAAAAACTTTAATTAAAACCACTAAGTTTTATACTTTTTCACGACAAAACCCCTTCTGGCTTCACCCCCACCAAAACGTTGAATGGTTTGAAATGGTTAATCATTTTTCTTAATGACTTTATAGACACTATGTTTTATTATACTGTGTTTTGTTGCTACCAACCTTATTGTGAAACCAACCTAACGAGCAATTAATAAAAATCAGCGGGATCCGAATAAAGAAATTCATCAAACAGTAAAGGTCTGGAGACATTTTCAATTAATATCTGTTACTTTAAACAGAATTTAACACTGAAATAAATACAGGTGTTTGTGCAGCCATGTTATAAATTGAATTTTTAAATAAAAAATAGAACATTTTTCCATTTTAAAATCTAAATTGTTTTTGAAGTAGAGCGCAACAGTCTTTCAGTTTGGTATATAGATAATATCCTTACGGAAGAGGATTAGGGCCACTGGAAAAAAA